GTGGCCCCTAACTGTCATAAGATTCCAGTTAATCCGCGGAGCATTCAAATCTCCCACAATAGTAAGGTTTTGCTTTCGACTGTCCACGCAGAGTCGAGTGATTAACGCTTGACCTTCGTCGGCAGGTTGATTTGGAGGTCTATATACAACGGTGACAGTAACGTTTTCGGTTTTGGGAACCAGCAAATGACACTGCAGCATCTGCAGATCATGTTCATTTACACATTCTTCAACAGGGTTATATTCGATCGCATTGCTAATATAAAGGGCAACTCCGCCACCTCGCCTCTTGGTTCGGTCTCGTCTTAGCACTTGATAACCACTAGCTATCAGACCTTCGCGCATCCGAGTTACTGTTCGTACATATTGAAACGGAACTCCATCAAGTGCCATGTCTAATAGCATTTGGTCAGAGTTATAATATTACCATGCTGCATAATCTCACGACATTCCAGACGCCCTTGGATACTGACTTTTAACTGCACTGCTCTTCAGCCGTCTGCAAAAACTACACTCAGTAAAAACGATTACTTAAGTAGTATGAATTTTCCATTTGGTTTTGATGTCCTTACAAATTCGCATACATTTTATGGAAAACATGCACAAAAATACTTCTTCTCGCACTCTGTTGGCGGCAAATTACGTCTCCTAATTGCATGCATTTTATTTCTGAATTAGTGTGAACCCAATCTGTCAATACGCTTGCGTCTAGCGTCTTCAGCCTACATTCGTGTAAGAAAAATCATGCATTCCTCCATACCATTAAGAAGATGCCATTCAGGGTTCGAAAAATTTTGCAGTGAATGTGGACTGCGCTGTACACTTCATGAACAGCATTAATAAACGGACTGACATGGCCCTTTAGTTATACTCATTTTAAGCATACGTGGCTCATGCGCGTTACGAAATTTTATAAGTTCCACATGGGCCCCCAACATGATGCAGAGCAATGTTTGAAGCCAGTCCCGTTCTTTGGGAAAGATAGGAAACTTTTATAGGTACCTTTTCGACGTTGGTTCCCCAGACGCACACAGCGACCGCTCGCTAGCGCATTCATTCAGGTCTGTCAGCGTCGTCAATTTACCTAATAAAGTTCTCCATCTTCCTCAAAAAGGACGTGATGGCCTTCAAGTTAGATTTCTTGGAGTGCTTGTCTTCCAATTCTTACTTTCAAAGTAAATGAATACAGCTTGCAGATTGGAGATCCCAAACGCAGTAAAACAAGTCCAAATTCAAATAATTCGGGGATTGAAAAAAAATCTTCGCAACAGAAGGATACCTCTTTGCGGAGCATACACTTTCAAAATCCGCGCAGGAAAGGATACTTTTACGTATTTTGTACAGAAATGTTTGAGTTTATCAGAGCATTGGGAATGAGGAAGGCCTATCCAACTTAAGCAGCCATTTTTTGAGAAGTGTGATTATTTGTAGCCCTTCGGAACGATGTGCACTAAAAAGTCAGCATTCTGGCGCGATTGAAAGATCTCGAAACTATGCCGCATGCTAAGCAATGTTCTAACGCCACCTAGGCAGTCATTTCTAACAGAAGTCACATTGCCTTTAGTCTCTGGTGATGAGTTCGAGCAGGAATCCGAATCATCAGGCGAATGACGCTCTTGTCCCAACGATCGTGTCTCCTTCACGACGGCTTCCTGGGACTCGTCTCCTCGGAGCCGTATCTGCTTTTGTCTCTGATGGTGGGTTTGAGCAGGAATCCGAAACGTCAGGCGAATAAAGCTCTTGCCCCGGCGATCGTGTCTCCTTCTTCAGGAAGTCACATTTCAGAATTCCGGCTAACGTCCCATGAGATACGCTATCTGAGTTCAACTTTGCTAAGTGACTTTCAATGCCTGGAATTCCTGACCACAGGTTCCTATGCAACTGTTTGCTCGAGTAATCCCTAGGCTGCAAACGGGAACAGATGAAACTACCGCGTCGACCAGTGGCACATTAAGCCCTGCCTCGACATCAGAGAACGTGACGGACGCAACAGTTAGTGAGTGGATGAAACCCAAGTGACAAACCAGAAGTCAGCAAGGGAACGCACTCAGATGGTCCAATTAAGTCCTAAAACGCGTTTTCCGCGTAAGGTTCTCCCATGGGGTCACCGCTCTGAGCTCATTCCTGTGAAGATTCTTCAAGAATTAGAAGCAATGATGTTCGACACTCAGCAACCGCGCATTTCGAGACTTTTGCCACCATAACACTGGGAGTGGTTTGGCAACTTCGGAAAATCTAAAACTCCACTTTGCCCGATTTGCAGTTCGCGATGGAGATCGGCCAGCGGTCCTTCCTGAACGCCCTAGCCCGCTCAAGGCTGAGGAGATACTGACGACACAAGGCACACAGGAAGCTGACAAACACAAGCCAACTGTTCTGCCATCGCGTGGGTCCCCCGTTAATATGCAAGCGCAAATGCGTACGAACCCTCAACAAGTGGGTGCAACCACACTGCAGTGAGGTGAAATGCTGGGGTGGTCGAGCCTGGTCACAAAAACGGGTATCCGTACAAGTTTATGGAACTCCACAGATAACCCACAGAGACAGAAGCATCAGCAGTGGAAAAGTCGAAGGGCTGGTGAGTCATACCAGACAAAGTAATGTGTCCGACGCCTGTCATCCGCGACGTCTGCGCATCGGTATTGTCCTGCGACTTGAAGCGGGAGTTCTGCAACAGATAAGGAAACCACGGGACATCTGCCACAGGGACAAATACAACACACCGTTTTTTGGTGGAGGGACGCTCACCGATCGGGACTCACTCGTCCCGTTGTGCCTTAGGGCTCTTTCCCGAGTCCAACCAGCAGCCACACAGCGGCGCATGATATGGCAGAATGAGTGAGTTCCGTAGAAATGATCGGTGAGCGTCCGCTCTACTATTGTATATTCCCGATCGCAACCGACAGGACA